GCAATGTTTTGGTAAACTGGCCTTTACTGTCCCTTCTGTGAGAATGGGAAACCTGGATTACTTGTAGGGTGGAGGTAAGAAAGAATATAATAAAATAAACAACCTCCTTACCAATACTAAAATTTTACTCGGAAATTTTCCAGAGAGTTGCTATAGAAAATAACATATATAACGCTTCGAATCCTAAAATGTATACCACACATATTCTTGGCAGTAAGCTTCAAGGAGAGTTACATTAATTCCGAAATTCTTCATGTGTGTGCCCAACATTTCCCTTTCTCTGTAGTTTTATTTGCAAAGAGGCTTTTCCTTCATTTCCTTCCCCAAACAGAAAACACTGCTGAGAGAATGGTTGCTATGTTTCAGCTCAGAAAAGGTTTTGCTTTAGTAGTGTGTAGGCAGTCCTGATGAAACTAAGATCTTTGGGAAGGAATCATACTATAGAAATGAGGTACTTAATCGCAGTTTTCAACATCTTATCAGAAAGAAGTCCAGGCTTCTTTTCCATATATCTCCACATTTCCTTGGTTTAGTTTGGGGTGGCCTTTCAGAAGGCGTTATTCCACAAACAGCATTAACAACTCCTTTGGGTCATTATTACCTTACTGCCTAAGAGAAAAACCCAACCAAATAAGCAATTTTGGTTTCCCCACAGAATTAAGATTTAGGTTAGTGTCAACTCATCTTTCATTGTTCTCTTCAATTTTCATAAGCAGGAAAGATCAGAGACTTTCCTATTAAGGAAAAATAAAATGCATTTCAGAATAGGGTGAGAATTAAGAAGGCCATTTTCCAAACGGTATAAGAATTTCATAGTTAATCTCTTGTTGTTTCTGCTAATTAGCAATGACATGTAGATTGCTGAACCTCCCCAAGAGATTTCACCACAAGATCAAAGAGAAAATAGGATAGCCTAAAAGTAGAACACTTCTATAAAAAAATAGATGTTTTTGATAAAACAAAAAGATCTAGAAATGAAATGTGTGGGGAAGATGGATAAATAGTGCTGTACCTGAACTTGTGTTTTGATAAGAGAGCCTGCTCTGTTTTTTTCAGACAGTTTCCTATTAAATATGATACAAATGTGATAAGAAATTTTGGGGGGGAGCAGATACAATCCAGAGTCAAAGCACAAAGAGTACAGGAATTAAAGGAGCCTGAACTAGAGCAACTCCCAGAAACAAATACTTTAGTCTTCCTGCAAGTTCTTTAGATAGCCTGCTGCTAGATTTGTGCCAGTGAACCACTCTGAGGGTGCTGACAAGAGCTTCCTGTTATCTAGCTGCTCACTCCGAGGGAGCTAGGCATATCCCCGCTTTTTATCCTGTGGTCATATTTAGGCTGCTGAGTATCCAAGTTTCATTACCCAAGGGCAGCTTCAGGATCCTTAAGAACCAGACTAGGAATGTAGACTGGGACCAAGATAATGTGGACTAAGCCTTGTTACTCTAGTGGCGTTAACCAGAGGACCATCTGTCTCCAGCCAAGTCAATGTAAAAGCCTGAGGAGATTGGTAGGTAGATTTTTCCCAAGTCTCAGTGCCACTCATATACACTGGAGAAATCTAAGTTAGAAGTTCAGTAATAATCTTACAAATGGATAACATAATCATACTGAAGGGGAAAGAGAAGAAAAGAACTGACCTAAGTAATTTTGAAAAATAATATTTTGGCTGAATACAAAAATATTCAAAAGGCTAAATACAAAAATAACTGTATAAATATTATATTCTAATTAGTAAATTTGTTTTTACAGCAATATGGGTCAGCAATTCTGAAACTATAATATAATAAGATTAAACAAATAAGTAAATATATTTTATATAATAAGCTCCAGGTTTCTCACTGTCAGAGAAAGAAGTCATAGACAAGCAAAAAGGGAAGGCTACACTGAAACCTATGGTGCTGGATTAGAGTTGAAATTAGACGGATATAGATAGATATAGAAATAAATTAGTTAAAAATAAGGAAGGGGGAAGGATAGCATGATCCTTGTGTTGTTGTGCTCGAATTAGAGGTATCAGCATGAACTTATGGATTTTAATATGTATACAGATAGACAGACACAGAAATAAACATAATGTGTGTGCATGTGTGGGTTAGTAGACATCCATACATTTCCCAGTACTGTTTGCTGAGAGGGCCCAGAAACATGACACCCCAGTAGCAGTGAGCACACCTAGCACCCAGGTCTTGGTTTCTAAATATTATTCTCCAATAAAAGGAACCTGGGTTCCACGTAGAAGTGGTTGAGACCAAGGTTAGGGCAGGGAAAATACAAGAGCCTGAAGTATCTCGTGGTGACAGAAAGAAAGGAAGTGCCCTGAAAAGGACGGTAGCATTTTAAAAGGGCAAAAGAGTCAACCTGAAATATTTTGGCCAAAGTTAGAACACTTTGAGTAACAAAGTGAACAACAATCATATTAGATTATAATCCACAGAATAAAATAAATATTTATGACCCTATACTGATACTAATAAATAACTGAATAAATGAATAAATAAATATATGGGGGAGAAGGGCCAGTTTTTCTTTCTAGAAGACTTTCGATTAATAAATGAAGAAATGAGAGAAATACAAAATCATCATTAGACAAATACCACATTAATAATTGTTACAGGCAAGAGTCACCAATGGATGCTAAAATTAATAAGTGAAAGTAAGAATAAGCAAGATAGTAGCATAGTTTCATAATATTTCCTCTAAGACATTTATGAATTACAAAGTGAAAAATAGTAACTTTCCAGTGGGGAAGCTCATCAGATACAATGTTAAGTGATAAAGGTTAACATTAACAGTATTAAGACATATTAACATTATGTAACCCTTGATATAATATACTGAGAAAGGCAGAGCATCACTTCTTGTAGTATTCTTACCAAAAATGCATAATATCAATCTAAGCAGAAGAAAACATCAGAAAACCCAAGTTGAAAGGCATTCTACGAAATACCTGAGTAGTACTCTTCAAAAATGTCAAGATCATAAAAGACAAGGAAAGAACTAGGAGGAGACTATGGAGACATAACAACTAAATGCAACATGAAATTACAGATTGAGTCCTAGAACAGCAAAAGGACTTTAGTGGAAAAACTGGTGTCACTCTAATAGGATCTATAGTTTATGATATTTAATGGTATTGTACCAATGTTAATTTCTTATGCTTATGTCAGATACTAACACTGGGGAAAGCTGGGTGAAGGGTATTCAGAACTTTGTGTACTATTTTTGCAACTTTTGTGTATGTCTAAAATTATTTCAAGATAAAAACTTAAAAACAATAAAATATAGGTTCAAATCAATCAGAAACTGTGGCAAAGTGGAGATAGTTTACTTATAATCTCTTATTTTTAAATCCACTGGCTGGTCTTTCTAAAACTGAATAATCTGTTTTAGTAGACCACTAATTTTGTAAAACTCTTTATATGTTTCTAAAATTCATATGCAGCACTTCCATCTAAAACATACATTATTTCTTCTTGAACAGTGGACTTCAATAAAATTTAAAAGTTAATCATATTGGGAACACATGTCATATTCATCTCTCATTGGTTGGGTAACATACCATGGCACTTTTCCTTATGCCTTCTCAAGATGGTCCCTGAGTATTCGTTTCCCTTCCGATTTTCTTTCAGAAATCTGAACTGTTAATGCAGGAGGACATAGTAACTCCATCTGTCTCATGAAGGACGCAACATCTAAGAGTCTTTGCCAATCTTTCTCAAAATGTTAATCCTAATTCTTAACATTTCCTCCTACCACATTTCCCTCTTTATTCCTAAAGCCAAAACTCTGACCAAACTCTTGCTGTTTTATATCTGAATTATTATGACTTCTTGACCATCAGTCCAAAAGGCTGCCGTCAAAAGTATCTAGCTTTTTTAAGAACATGCTTTGACTACTTTACCTTTTTCCTAATCTCTTAGTTACCCATATCATATTCAAATTCCTAGTATTGATTTCCAGGGTCTTTGCAGTCTATTTTACATTTATCAAGCTCCCTCAATATCTTCTTGCATTATCTTTTCTCTTGTTAAATCCATTTATTTATGCATTGACTCCATTAACTTTCACTGAATTTCAGAAATGCTGAAGGCCCTGGGGTAGGGATGTTATAGGAGATACAAAATATACATATTTATCTTTTCTCATCCAACCTTCTCATTTACAAAGTACTTTCCAAGTACTTTCAAGTACTTTCCAAGTACTTTCTTTCACTTAAAATGTTATAAACATCAAGTTCATACTATTATCAATTCCACTTCACTGAAAAAACTTCTGCTTAAGTGGCATGCTCATTTGTCAAAAAAAAAAAAAAAG